TTCTGAAATGCTGCTTACTGTTGCTATTGGATCTGGACTCGGTTTGCTATATTTTCTAGCGGATTGATGTGTTGTCGTTTTGCAGCCTAGGATTTCAAACGTGGAGGACGGGGGAATTGTTGACGACATCAAAACATTAGAGGAGGCTATCCGCGAGGTGGTATGTTTTCTCTTGTGTTCTTATCCTTTTTTTTTTAACATCATTTTTCATGTTGTACTTGTAAAAAGAGAAAACTACTACCGTGTTCTCAAGATAGCTAACTTTGTGATGTTGCCTGTCTTAAAATTTAAGGGTTCCAAGAAGAAAGAGATGTTGAATCGACTACTAAAGCCTGCCCTTGAAATGAAGGAACGTCAGGAGAAGTATGAATTTGTCTTATTTCTGCTTTTCTTGCATGCCTTTTAATGATTTGGACTGTGATCTGACGGCTTTGTTCTGATATTTTCCCCTTACATAGGGAGTTCGATCGGCTCGGTTATGAAAAACTCATCGAAATGGCATATGAAAAGAGCAAGGTATATTCATTTCTGTTCCCATGTTGCCGCTTTTTCCAATTCACTTTTACGATTTACTCCGAGTCTGTGTGTTTGTGATAATTTTATATGGATTTTATTTTACAGGCAAGTCGTCGTCATCACTCCGCAAGTGGAAAGAGTTCGGTTAACAAGATATCAAAGCAGGCCGCTTTTGCTTTCGTGAAAAGGACACTTGGAAGATGTCGTCAATTCGAAGAGACGGGCAAAAGCTGTTTTAGTGAGTCTACATTTAAGAATATCCTCATTGCCGGGCTGACACAAACTGAAGATTATCACAAGGAAGATATTCTATCAGCTTCAAGTATGATATCATTTTTGCCTTACAGAACAGTGAACTATGTTTTCGAATCCACAAACTCTTTGTTAATTCGAATCTCTCCTTTTTTTTTTCTCTGGCAGCACCCGTAGGTTCACAACCGAGCTCATCATTAGCATTGCGAACGACGCAGAACACGGAGAATTATGCCAATTCTTCTGAAAATGCTTTACGGGAAGGGAAAGATGAAGCGATGTGGACAAATAGAATGAAGGAGAGGGAGTTGCTGCTTGATGATGTGGGTGGGGCACCACTTTTAAGCAGTACAAAAGGAAAGAGAAGTGACCGAGACAGAGATGGAAAAGGACAGGCTTCTTCATCAAGAGGCGGAGGAACCAACAAGATTGGTCGGCCTGCACTGTCCAATGTTAAGGGTGAACGGAAATCGAAAACAAAACCGAGGCAGAAAACAACTCCCATGTTTTCTTCTTCTTCTTCTGTCGGCATCTTGGAGCAAACCAGAACATCATTGTCGAAACCAACTAACAGCAACAACAGCGAGTACAGTAACTTGGAGACACTGGACGAGTCAGAGCCTCTCGACCTATCGCACCTGCAGATACCGGACGGTTTAGGTGGTCCAGATGATTTCGATACACAAGCAGGAGATCTAAGCTCATGGTTGAACATCGATGACGATGCGTTACAAGTTAACGATATTGATCTCCTTGGACTTCAAATACCCATGGATGATCTTTCAGACTTAAACATGATGGTATAAGCTCCCTCTCTATCTTTATTTCTGTACAGTCTCCATTAGCGACGAAGAAAGATAAGAAAAAGGAAAAAACAAGTTTTGGTCCCCAGAAAGAATAACCAGTCACCAGAACCGGTTATTCGGGTTGGCTCCAACAAACTAGGCGATATAGAATCTTTTTCTTCTTCTTCATCATCATCATCATCATCATCTTTAGGGTTCTTTCTTTTTGTCTTTCTAATAGTTCAGTTACTCGGGTGGTGGTGGAACTGTTTTTGTTTATTGGTGATGGGTGGTGTATTTGGCTCCGGCGGTTAAGATAGGTCGGTAGTTAAACTTCAGGAAAGAAAAGAGTGATAGTTATGTTGTGTAGTGATATATATAGATAAGTGGCAGTTTTTCTTCTTTCTTCTTCCTTTCATCTTTGGGATTTTGTAGCTCTCATAACTTCAGAACCATTATTGTTGCCTCTGTACATACATTTTATGTTACTTAATAAAATTCAGGTTTTTAATACAATGATGTCATCTCTTTGTACCTCTGTAAATGTACAATTCCTTATGTAACAGATTCAGAACAGAGGAGACAGCGACGAGGAAAAAAGAGTTTTAACTTTCAGTGTTCTACTGCGACCATTAAATTGGGGACTAAATATATCAAAAATCAAATCAAATCACTGAAATTGAAAAGGACTTCTACATTTCATTTGCACTCTAAACGTTGAAGCAAAAATAAAAATAGAAAAAGACCAATAAACGTATAAAAGACAAAGACTTTCCTTACTTTCTTCTTCAAAAGGTGTTTCATCTTTCTTTAGATATGAGTGTGAGAGTTGCGTTTATAGCGTTGCGGTTAGTTTTTGACACAGCTTGCTTAAGCGTCACGGTAGGAGACGCTCTAAGACTTCTCCGTTGCTGTTCAATCACAAGCTCACTCGCAAACCACTCAAGTTTCTCTGAATTGCTCATCTCACCGATCCTTTTGCTTCCGAACAAAACCGATTCCACATTGTTTTGCTTCAACATCTCATCAGCGATCTCCGTCAGTTTCTTCACATTCTCTGCTCTTGGATCCGTGTCCACGTTTGGCCCACAAGCTCCTAACCTCGATCCGTTTGCCTGCTGCACCACAATGTATTTTTCCAATGATATTTTTCATTCAAACCGTAAAACTCAAAACGCAGAACAAAAGTGGGGAGAACCATGCATCAATTTGTTTAGTGTGTGTAAACCATAATCAGTTTAGTCGAACCTGAATGCGAACGTAGTTACTGCTCCGGTAAGGCCCAAAGCCCATAGCAACGGCCTGGTCAACAAACTCAGCGGATCCATCACCCGAGATTCTAGCCATTGGGCGAGCCCATTCCTTTACCCGCCAATTCTTGACCTGCTCATAGTCATAATTCACCTCGAAAAGCTGACCAGTCCCAAGCGACAACACCAACAGATCCTCCACTCCCTTAACCGCCGGAAACTCCTGTTTGTTATGGAACACATGCGTTATCGCCGCCGCCGTCGGATTACTCATCGCGAGTCCACCTCCAACCGCAACGCACCTCGTTTTCCCGTCGACGGAGCACGTGCGAACCGGATCGAACGTGCCTGGCTCTGCCCACGTGGCGCGGCAGATATCTCGGAGACGGAAGTCGAAGCTGTCGCTCTCGAGAGCGTCGGCGCGTGAGAATAGAAACGGCGCCGTACTGGAGAGATCGTAGCAAGAGATGAGGATCGGTTTCAGTGTGTCTTTAAGCGTCAGGTCGGCGAATGATGCTTTCATGGCTTTCTCGAGCTTTGCCGTTGCGGCGGTTACTGAAGAAGAGGAGGATCCGGATCCGGATCTTATGACCCGTTTGATCGCTGCTCCTGCTCCACCACCTCCTCCTCCTCCGCCTGATCTGTAGAATCCCTCGGCGTTCTCCACAAGGAACTTCCAAGTGTCCTCCGCCTTGAAAATCGGGCGGTTACCGTCTCTCGTGGCGAACATCATCGCCGAGAATACCCCGCCGACTCCTGATCCGGCGGCGACGTCGAAGTAATCTGCGATTCGAGCATTTGGATCGCCTGATTTTTCTTTCAGCATTTGCTCAAGATAGATTAAGGATTTTCCCGCCAAAAGCCCTCTCATCCCGCCGCCGTCGATGCTCAAAACGCAGATTCTCCCTCTCGGGCTCCTGAACGACGACGGCGTTCCCGGTAGAACGACGCCGTTTGGAGTCAACGGCGATCTCGGAGAAGGCCCTGCCTCGGAGTCGCCGGGTCGTAATGGACTCCGAGGGATCCATAGTAGCCTTGGGTCTTCGTAACCGAAGAGAAACCTGCTCTCGAGAATCGAGAAGATCTCGTAACTGAGCTTATCATCAGAGTCGACGATGGGTTCGTGGGATCGAGTCGTGGACAGAGTCGGGCTTGTGTGAGTCCTCTCGTAGCTTCCGGGAGTGTTGGGAGCTGTGTGATTGACAAAATGCTTCTTCTTCCCTTTGGATGAAACTGCCAATGGCGGCGGCTTATCGTAGCGCCTGTTCATAACCGTTACTAGATTTGTACAAGCCTCGAAACTAAAGCTTTTTTCGCAGCTATGTGCTGATAATCTTGTAAGAAAAATGGTATTTTTTTCAAAGACGTGTGTATACAAAGGATTTTAAAAACAAAAGTTTTTTTTTGCATTTCGAGTTTTGGATTTTTGTTAAAAGGAAAAAAAGATTTGAAGCAGTGGCGTAAGTTAGCATGACATGGCTAAGCACTACTCGTGTGCTCGGAAAGATCTCGCCCCCACGTCCGACGCCGCCTCCAGCAAATTAGCTCACATAGATTTAAGTTTTTTTTTCCGGTTTGTTTGAATATTTTAATACGCATTACCAATTTATGATGGTTGGCAGATATACTAATAAAATCCAGCCACAAAGTATTTAAGGAATTTATTAATAGTTAATTTGAATGTAATCGTTATATATTGATGAAAATTTATATTTAACGAATCACTAAAATAGTATGTTTTGAGAGAAAGAAACAGTCGTCGGGAGTTTTGATTTCTCCCGTAACAGTCCGTTTGATGATCAATTAGTAGGCTTCACGAGTCAAACTTTACCTTACTCGGTATCTACACCATTCTGTACACTTTTATTATCAAAATGTAAATAACGTATTTCACATTTCTATACTGGAAATCTCAGAAATTCAATAAAATCTGTAAAATTAAGGCGAGAAGAAAAGAGCTGAATCTTCTTTTTCCATAAGTATCACAAACAATGAGCTCCAAGTGAAAACAAAAAAAAAATCTTAATAAGCACTCTCCTGTTGCCTCATATATCTATAATCTTAAAATACAGCAACAACACAAATTTATAAATCTATATAACCAAAGATCATTCTTTAACTGGAAGTTAAAAACAAGAAATCTTAGATGATCAACAGTAACCACCTCATGATCATACTATATATGTCTCCCTGGAGCTTAAACGGAGAACGTACCGGAAATATTCCCAAGCGTTGCAAGCGGCGATCCTGCATCTGTAAAGTAGGACGCGAGGTTGATCTCCGAGTTGTTGTATTTGTTCAAGAAAGGATGTTCCTGAAAAGTGTTTCCAAGTATGATTTCAACATTTGCATTGGATGGAAAAAAAAGATGGAAAAGAGATTAATATAAAACAAACCATTAGTTCTTTTGCAGAGCTTCGACTGTTCGGGTCCTTTTGCAAACTGAAAGAGAACGTAGAGAGTATAAATATTTTTAAGCTAGTAAGTACTCCCGGTAAAAAAAAGAGCCGCCGGATTTTCTTGTTGGGGAGAGATTACCATGTGGAGATGAATGAAGATAACTCAGGGGAGAAACTATCTGAAGGAAGAGCCGGTGGTGGTTGGTCAACGATGGCTTCCATCAACTCGAAAACACTGCTCCATGTTTCCTCTTGATCTGGAGGTAAATAAGGGAACTTCCCTGTTGCGCATTGAAGCACTACTAAACCCAAGCTCCATATATCGCTTTTATTACCGTACTTGTTTCCAACGATTCTCTCTGGCTGTTACAAAGAAGAAATGTTTCGAAACGTTATAAACACTCAAAAAAATGGTTCCAAACTAGTGAATGCTCAGCAGACAAAGAGGTACTTACAGACATATAATTGTAAGTCCCGACAAACGTGTTTGCTAAACCTGCTGTGTTTGTCATGACGGTACTCACACCAAAGTCTGTGATTTTGACCTCTCCTCTGTGGTTGATCAACAGATTAGATGGTTTCAAGTCACGGTGGATGATATGCCTATCGTGATGAAGATAGATCAGTCCCTGAAGCACCTGCATTAACATATTCAAGAAATCACATAAATAAAGGAGTGTATGACTCAAGCTGGACCTAGTTTCTTGTGTTTCTTACTTGTTTAAAGATGGCAGAAAGATAGGACTCAGGGATGATTTTAACTGATTTGAGAAAGTCTTCTAGAGATCCTCCGTCCATGTACTCCAAGATTAGTGAGATCGCGCCATTATCATAAAATGAATGGTACGAGTTGACAAGATATGGACATTGCGACGACTGATTTATCTTCAGCTCTTGTGCAATTGCCTTGCGAATTGCTTCATCGATATTCAATTGAATGACCTAATTATACATCATACAAAAAGGAATAAGGTTCAGCAGAAAAGAAGAAGCGCACAGTGAAAAAGGAAAGTGAAAAGAAACGAGAAAAAGGTTCCCAACAATAGATATTATATCGACAACTAATTGATAAAACCAGAAGTGAAAGGAAACATCACAGAGAAATATAGTTTGTAGACTGATTTCGCCTAACACTAGACTTTCAGAAATGAAGCACCTTTAGAGAAAGTATAAATCATAGCTATACTAAATCATTATCTAACTTGATTACAAAGAGATTTGTAATTCTTCAATCACAGAGAAAAGGTGAGCTAACTAGGTCATCATATACTATCAACAACTCTCAGTGGTAAGTATGCAAGTCTGTGAGGTACCTTCAAGGCGAAAAACTGGCCGGTCCATTTGTGTTGAACCAACTGTACAACACCACTGCTTCCTTTCCCAATGACTTTAACCATGTCCAAATCCGACAAGCTCAGCTCATCATCCGCTGGCTTAATTGGAGACAGCTGAAACACATATTACAAACAGCAATCAACAACACATAAGCTTTGTGATGTTGTAATCATCTATCATGTGTAAATCCTTGAATTCTCAATCCAATCTCTAACCATGATCAGATCCAGAATTACATTACAGTCAAACTTTCGGCTTCACACATTCCACCTAACCCAACACTCAGCATAATCTTCATATTCATAGTACCAAATCAACACTCTACGCCTAAAACCTTGCGAAAATTCAGTAAAATCAATACCGGAGAGGAAAGACTTACAACTTCAGGCTCCGATTGAGAAACGATTCGAACTCCGTCCTTGTTAACTCGTAGATCTCCATCCTTAAACGTACCGCTCTGAGTCCTGCGGATAGAACAAACACCTTTTAGCATTTCCGCACACAAAGACATCCATCGATAGATCTATTGAGAAAGAGAGAGAGCAAATCGAGATAGATACAGGAATTTGGTGATTGATTGCTCGCCAGCTGGCGGAATTGAGAGCTTGAGGTTATTGCTAAAACCACCCTTCTTCATCGTCTACTTCTTTAAGCTTCTTCGTCCTGTTCTTCTCGACCCAGTCATTTATATATGGGTGATCTCATATATTAGTCAGCAGCTAGAAATGGGAAAGAAAGAGCCCTTTAATAATATCAGTCAAGCATATGCTCACGAGCGTTGACCAACGACTTCGATGACTTTCCAATTTCACTTGCTTTCCCCGGTTTTCTTCGACCCAAGCTTCAAATCAGATAGAATACTTTAACCGGAAACAAACCGGTTATTTATGATAATAAATTGCTCCACAGTACAAAACGCCAACGCCAACGCCAACGCAAACGCAAAACTAACATTAGCATTGATCGAATCATTTTTGTCTTTGAACAAAATATATTTCAAGTTTTTATGATCACATTCATATAACATAAGTTTTTATCTCTTTTTGTTTAAACTACACTTGCAATACAATCACACGCATAAAGAAAAATCGATTCGAATAAACCTATCTATCAATTAACACCACTATCATTATACTTCATGTCTAGTCTCTAATCAACAAGGACAGGCTTTTACAACATCCGAAACATATACATTACATAGTCACGAAAGATTTCACCAAACATATATAATCCTGTGGCAATCGCGAGATAGCGAGGCAAGAGTTACTAGAGGCAATGATCACGAGTTTTGTTCATATCTCCATCATGTTGAACGAGAATTTCGAAAGAAGCTTGGGAATTTGCGATATGATCGGCCCATAAGTCTGCAAAGCATGAACGAAACATCATATCGATGATGTTATAACACGTGTTTCAATGATCCTACTGGCTTTACCAGGAACAACACTTCAAAGACTCAAAGTTCAAGACAAGGTAAGGGAAATGCTCAAATGCAAGTAGGATACTACATACCTTTTCGTTTTCATGGATTTGGCACAACGGAACAGCGAGGAGTTTGAAGTTTTTAGGCACGACAAACTGTTGATTTTCCTGTAGTCTCACAAGAAAAAGCTTTGTGCATTCCTAACCAAAAGATGAGGATAGAGCAGAGCTTTTAAGTATATGCACACAAATTCAAAAGCCTCAACCTTTATTACCATGGAAGTGGAACTAACTGAAGTCTGTAACTAACCTTTGGGTGTTTCACATTTGGTGGCAAGAAAGGATACATCAATGTCTCAAAGTTGGGTCTCCACCACATTCCAATGGATTCTCCTACCTACAACAGTTTTCCAATTAGAGAAGACCATTCTTAAGCCAGGGACAATCAGAACAAAACACTAAAGAGCAGAATCCGTAGTTTCCTACCTCCAAACCCGGAACATGGACATTTTCGTTAATCGAAAGCTTTGATGCTAGTTTGCGTTTCAGACCTTCAATATCTAAACCTGAATTTAGCATTGAGAATTGAGAATCACATAAAAATATGCATAAAGAGGTAACCGAACCTGATTCTCCAGATCTCAAACGACCACCGGGAAGCTTAAAGATGGAGTTTTTATATTGAAGAAGCAAGACATGAGGATGCTTGAACAATTCAACCTGATGTATTCCGAAATTAGATACTATAAACTAATTTTCTCTGTAAATGTTTTTCAAAATCCCTAATTTTTTTTGCTATCAACCATTGAATTACCAGAAGAACAGCTTCAACGCAAGTCCTCAATCCATGAGCAGCGTAACTCCAAGAGAAACAAAAGGAAGAAACTTTTAGCTACATATTAACACAGTACGAAATTTAAAGATGATCAAAATCAGATGAAAGCTGGAATTTTACTTCGATTTCAATCTGACGACTCGATCAGAGATAATCTCGTCCTTCACGGGAAGATCGTCTCGCGAACCGAAGTAGTAGGTGCTAAGCGGGTATAGATCGACTATCAAGTCATGAACGAGATGGTTTCCTCTCGTCGTGTTCTCTTCGCTGGTCTCCTCCATATCTAAAACTCGAGCTTCCTCACCCATTTTTTCCCGGGAAATCCAAAGACAGAGACAGCTAACGCGATCGCGATCGGGATATAAAAACTACAGAGGAAGAAGAGTGAAGAAGCGAAAGAGAAGATGGCGTAGTAGGATCAGTGAGACGTGGCGGTTCCAGAGAGTTCCTCTCCGCTAAACGGTGCTAATAGCTGACGCCGGCGGGAGAGTGAGAGGGAAGAAAAGTGAAGATCAATGTTGGGCCTCTTGTGATATTAATGGGCCTTCAGTAACAAACAAGAAAACGGCAGGGTTTTTAATAGAAAAACGACGCAACTTTCTATTTTCTAACAAAATAACGAAACGGTGTTAGGGTGAGAAGGCAATCTGAGAGTTCACTCTTTCAAATTTGGGTCTTCTGCTTGTTCTTCTTCGTCACTTGAAAACACAGTTAAAACCTAAATAGAGAAAGATGAAACTCGCAGGTCTGAAATCGATCGAGAGTGCACATGAAGATTCCGTTTGGGCGGCGACTTGGGTTCCGGCGACGGATGATCGACCGGCGTTGCTCCTGACTGGATCTCTCGACGAGACGGTGAAGTTATGGCGAGCGGACGAGCTAGATCTTGTGCGGACTAATACCGGACACTCCTTGGGAGTAGCAGCTGTGGCGGCGCATCCTTCCGGGATAATTGCAGCATCTTCTTCGCTCGATAGCTTCGTCCGCGTCTTTGATGTTGATACAAACGCTACCATTGCTGTTCTCGAAGCTCCTCCTTCTGAGGTTTGGGGGATGCAATTTGAACCCAAGGTAATTGAATTATCCCGAATCTCTAGAATTCAATGATCTTGTCTCCGTTTTGAGGGTTTTAAAGGATTTGGGTTAATTGATGGTGGAAGAATTTGATTGAGCTTCGGATAATTCTTCTCCTGATCTATAGAATAATGCTTAGAAACTATTTAAAATTGTTGAGCATCGTTTGAATCTGTATTTCAAATCAGAGAGGAACTTGAGTGTCGTCATCTGTTGTGCTCCGAAATTGGTCTAGACCAAGTTCTGATTTTTCATCACGACCATATTAGCATTATAACTATTATTGCTTGATTACAACTTTGGTGAAACATCTTGATTTGGTAAGCTGTTGCTTGTCGCCGCTTTTTGTATCAGCCGTGACTTTGTTTTCACTGATAACGTACTTTGATACGATTGAAGTAACATCTGATCAGCTCGCAAGGTTCTTCTTGCCAAACGTGATTCTGTATGTATGTTTTGGTGAAACTTTTCTCTTCAACTTGATCACTCTGAGTAACTCTTTGATCCACTTACCTTTCTTGGCCATAGTCATTTTTAGGAAGATTTTTGTATCCCATCCATTGGTGCTAGATATAACTTGATGTCAAGATACCGATGTAGTGCTTAGGGATTGAATTGCAGTAGAGCTTTTAGTTGTTTCTAAGCTGAGTTTACATGATTTCAACATCACATTGCTCTGCTGCTAAGTGCTAACATATTCATTTACATGCTCCAAGGGTACAATCCTTGCTGTTGCAGGTGGAAGTAGTGCCTCGGTCAAGCTTTGGGACACTGCAAGCTGGAGACTAGTCTCAACTCTATCAATCCCACGTCCAGAAGCACCAAAGCCTTCTGATAAAACCAGCAGCAAGAAATTCGTTCTCTCAGTGGCTTGGTCTCCTAATGGAAAACGGCTTGCTTGCGGTTCAATGGATGGCACGATCTGTGTCTTTGATGTTGAACGCTCAAAGCTTCTTCACCAGCTAGAAGGCCACAACATGCCTGTAAGGTCGCTTGTGTTCTCCCCTGTAGACCCGAGAGTCCTCTTCTCAGGATCAGATGATGGGCACGTGAACATGCACGACGCAGAAGGGAAAACGCTACTGGGGTCCATGTCAGGGCATACGAGCTGGGTGCTGAGCGTCGATGCTAGCCCAGACGGTGGAGCCATAGCAACAGGCTCGAGCGATAGGACTGTGAGGCTATGGGATCTTAAGATGAGAGCGGCTATTCAGACAATGAGCAACCACAATGACCAGGTTTGGTCTGTGGCGTTTAGACCACCTGGTGGAACCGGTGTCCGGACTGGTCGACTTGCTAGTGTCTCAGATGACAAGAGTGTATCGCTCTATGATTACTCATGAACAATCCCATTTTTTTTTATATTTGTATTCTCTAAGACGCATCTAGCTTCCGAGGATTCTATGTAAACACTAGTTGTAACAGGTTTTTGTTGGTACAAGATTTTGACTTGTGACTTTATATAAATTGCTCACATTTAAAAGAGAAAATGGTTCAAGCTTTGCGATAGAAACTTCTACTACAAGAGAAACGGATGAAGATCACAGAAATAGTGCATTGAAGAGTACACAAACAAACGTCTTAAAAAATTTCAAACGAAAAAAGAAAATGGTCTGTTTCTAACTTTTAAGTAACTCTTGAGAACATCAGAATCTGCTTTCACTTCCACAAGAGGATTTGAGAATCTGCAAGCTTACAGCAGGCTTTCGAGTGGCAATCCTATTTTAAACCCATGCTTACAGCAGGCTTTCGAGTGGTAATCCTATTTTAAACCCATCTTTTTATAAGGTAGACCCGCCACTGCTTATACTCATGGGTTTGAAGTCTTAGAAGAAGAAGTGACTATGAAGAAAGAGAAGAATAAGATGAAGATGATGATGAAATAAGTAGAAAAATATGAAGATGAGATAGAGAATGAGAAGATGAAAAGGAGGGTTGGCGTAGAAAAAGGTTTGCTGAGTGATAAGAAGAGAACAATTATAAACATATCTGATGAAATTTTGAGTGAAGAAATTCAGAGGAAGATACGAGAACAAGACATGACATTGCAAAGTGGAAAGTTGGAGGTATCACAAGGGAATGGGCTTAACTTGCAAACAATAAATCCTATAGAGTGTTTCAAGCATGTCATCATTAATTGCTAACATGGGGTTAAAATTTTGCGTTTTTAATGTTGTTCATAAATTCTTAATATTATAGTAAAGTTCACTAGTTTGAGAACTTTTAAATTTCCTTCAAAGTCTCTAGTTATTCGAAAACGTTTAGTTATGATTGATTTGATAGTTCTAATTTTGAGTTTTTCAAGTGGGAAATTTGGGCAATTATGTTTTGGTTTATTCATGAATTTGGTTTTAACTGAAGCAAAAGAGTAGCTTTAATGACAAAATTTCACTGGTATTCACTAGTTTATGAGGAAAATTAATAATGACTCTACCAATAACTAATGAACATGTGAAGTTGAGGATTTCCAACAAAAACTAATATTTTATTACTGTTGTCCATTGTCTATGGGGATAGCATCTTACTGGCAAAAAAAGCATGATTGCTGAGAAGAGAACATAATCATTCCCTTGTTACTAATTTATATCCACATATGTTATTAATATAAGTATATTATTTCTTTTTTTTGATAAAAATGTTAAAGTTATAATATTTCTAAAGACTTGTTTATAAAGATATAGTTTGTTCTTAATTTCCAAAAAAAAAATTTCTTTGTTATTGACTAACAACATTTTATACGTATTAGTTAGACTATGTATATGAACATATTGTACTTGCGGAAAAAAAACCTATTGTACTTGTCTTCGAGGTATGTTAGAGACACGTTCTAAAATTTAATAAGTTTACGTAACACACACTGTATATAAGTTAATCGAAGATGTTCTCCCAATAGTTTTTTGGGATCAAGTAAAGTTTTTCTTCCTCAATAAATCATCCCATTTTGCTCCAAAATGCTTTATCCAGACTTCTTTTCTTGGGTAATAACATCAAATGTTCTTTAATCTTGATGCAAGAGTTTATCTTCTTCATATCGGACACGGTTCAAGAAATTGAATTAAGGAACATGAACCCGGGAGTGAAACCTAGAGATCGATCTAATTAACTTGTCAATCACCTACAACAAAAAGTAACAAATAAATGTTATCCGTTACAGTGGATTTTATGATGATAATGGTTGATGGATCATGGATGTGTATGTGTATGTATTGGTGTGAATCCACTCTTGTTATATTAGGCAATCCTATATACTTAATAATTTTCCTATAACCGTACATATCTTTAGGGATGGACAAAAAAACCGAACCAAAGTAAATGAACTTGAACTAACCGAACCTAAATCAAATCAAACCAAAATCTATCTCAAAACATTTTAGTTAAGATTTCTGTCAATCCAAATGGTTTGGTTTAAAACCAAACCGAAAATCCAATTTACTTTCTTAATTATTAAATTATTAGTTATTAGTAATATTAATTATTTTTAACAATTAACAGTTTAACACTATTATTTAAATACTATCTTTGATTCTCAAGTTTCAAAAGAAAAACTTAAAAATTATACTACATTTAAGTACCTAGATTTCATTTACAAATAAAACCAAAATTCTTTTATCTATTTTCTACTTGATTTTTTACAGTTTCAAAATAATAAATTTTTTAATTTTGATATTGATGTTGCATTATGTTTATATAAGGTTTTGTTTTACAATCTGTTAACTAAACTGAACTAATCTAAATTAATTATAGCTTCCTCTTCAAGTTTGTATCTATATATATCTGCCTTCAGTCTCTTTCCGTTCAGTATGATGCAAACTATACAGCATGAAAATGATTTATTTTATCATGTGATATATTTATTGTAATTTCATATGATAATAATAATAATTTTGTGAGAATGATCATGATGAAGGGAGAGTATGTATGTATGTTACTATCATAATACTTGGCTACTTCGAGAAGAGAACATAGATGATACGGTGGTCATTCACAAGAGAGGCGACTCTTATCTGATCGGAGGATGGGAAAAAAGAGGTGTCTACAATACCGTTTGACATTATCAGTTGACCTTCTAAAAAGTCAACTCCAAAATCGTTGGCCATTGCCGCATTGATACTAAACGCTCTTGGTCTCTTGTAAAAGCCAAGAAGTCACTGTAGAGGATGCGTAACCACTTACCTGCATAATTTGGCAAACATAAGACAAGATTACACTCGAGCAAGATTACAGGTTTGATTATGCAGAATCTTATAATAAATAAGCAATATCAGATTTTATTCAACAAATGTACATTTTTAATTCAGAGTAACTCTTTGTTCCACTTACCATTCTTGGTCATAGTCTGTTTCTAGCAGATTACTGTATCCTATCTATTGGGGCTAGAATCGAACTTAATGTCAATATACCGATTTACTGCTTAGGGATTGAATTGCAGTGGAGCTTTTAGTTGTTTCTAAGCTAGGTTTACATGATTTCAACATCACATTGCTGCTAACATAATCGTTTACATGCTCCAAGGGTAAAATCCTTTCTGTTGCAGGTGGAAGTAATGCCTCGGTCAAGCTTTGGGACACTGCAAGCTGGAGATTAGTCTCAACTCTATCAATCCCACGTCCAGAAGCACCTAAACCTTCTGATAAAACCAGCAGCAACAAAATTCGTTGGAGCCATAGCAACAGGCTCGAGCGATAGAACTGTGAGGCTATGGGATCTTAAGATGAGAGCGGCTATTCAGACAATGAGCAACCACAACGACCAGGTTTGGTCTGTGGCGTTTAGACCACTGGGTGTAACCGGTGTCCGGGCTGGTCGACTTGCGAGTGTCTCTGATGACAAAAGTGTATCTCTCTATGATTACTTTTAAGATTACACTTATCTTTCTTTTATGCATTCTTCAAAGGATTCTATATAAACACCAGTGGTATTGAGATTTTGATCGGAGGCTTTAGATAAATCGGTCACATAAAAAAAGAGAAATATGGTTCAAACTTTTCGTTAAGACCTTATTGGAAAACTGAGAAACACATAAAGATCACGGAAAGAGTAGCATTGTAGGAGTACACAAACAGACGTCTAAAAGTTGTAAAACAAAAACGAAAGTGCTCTGTTTTTCTTTATGACCTAAGTGTCTGACTTCCTAAGTAACTCTTGAGAACATCCATGACAGCTCCGAAATCTGCTTTCACTTCCACAGGAGGATTTGAGAATCTGCAAGCCATGTCAGGGATGGATTTCGAGTGATAATCTATCTTCGACTGAGTAAACTTCAACCCATGAGCAGTACTCACAACCACGGTTCGATCAGTCGGCGCAATCACTCCTTGGTTCCTCAGCTTGAACAGAGCGGTTAGAGCCACACCTGTATGTGGACAGATAAACATTCCGGTCGAATCAGCCTGTGCCATCGCATCCATCAGCTCCTCCTCCGTGGCTTCTTCTACAATACCATTGCACTTCTTGAGAGCGTACACGGCTCTATCGATGGAGACAGGGTCACCGATCTGAATCGCAGAGGCGAAAGTGGTGCTTGCAGTCATGGGCTTGAAGTCCTTCCATCCAGACTTGTAGTGCAAGTAAAGTGGGTTCGCATTGGCTGCTTGTGCACAGACCATCCTCGGGATCCTATCGACGAGCCCCAGTTCTTGGCACATCTTGAATCCTTTGTAAAAAGCGTAGATGTTTCCGAGATTGCCTCCAGGAACAATCACCCAATCCGGAACTTGCCAGTCAAACTGCTGCAGAATCTCTATGGCTGCAGTTTTCTGCCCTTCTAACCTCAAACTATTCAACGAATTGGCCAAGTAAATCGGCAATTCCGCTGTTATCTCTCTAATCAGCTTCATGCAGCCATCAAAATCAGTGTCTATGCTCAGAACAAACGCACCGTTAGCGATCGGCTGAACCAGCTGAGCCATTGAGATCTTGTTTGCGGGTAGGAAGACGATCGACGGGATTCCAGCGGAGGCGCAGTAAGCAGAGAGAGCAGCGGAGGTGTCGCCGGTGGAAGCACATCCGACGCCGACCACGGGCCGTTTCATCTTCCTCAGGCGATTAACTTGGCTGACCAAAACGGTCATCCCGAGATCCTTGAAACTTCCGGTATGGCTAATCCCACAGTGCTTCACCCACAGATCGTTCATGCCTAGAAACTGTTTACCGAACCTCTCCGCCCAGAACAGATTCGAGTTCCCTTCGAAGGCCGAAACGATGTCGTCGTCATCGATCTCGGGAAGAACCCACTCTTTCTTCGACCATACGCCCGATCCATACGGCCATGTGCTCTTACCGACTCGGGAATCGAAGAGATCTCGCCAGTACTTGCCGTCGAATCGCTTCAAAGCCTCCATATCGTGCTCCACATCGAGCAAACCGCCGGAGCGGCTACGGTAGACGATCTCGTCGAGAGAGTAATGCTCGGTGGATCCAGGAGCCGCATTGAATGGAACATACCTAGCTGAAAACGGATTCACGGCGGTGGAACGGTGGCGACGAGCCTCATCACGGATGTTATCCTCGGTG